CGCAGACAGCAGTGTCAGAGGAAAGCGATTCAGTCGACAGAGGACATGGACACCGTTCGCATGAATTGGGAATCTGCACGGTCTCCAAGGGCGTAACAGCGATCGGCCGCATCGCTCCGAGATGTTCGAGCTCACGATATGCGCACTGGCGCTGCATCGGACCAGCACATGCAGTGGGAGTGGCTACTCACCACTCGCTTGGAGAACTGCGTGCGGATGGGTCGAAACAGCTGGCGCACGGGCTCGGCAAAGAAGAGCAGGAGGGCGATGGCCAGTCCAGCGACCTTCAGAGCATCAAAAGTGCCTGCTCCAGATGGCTCGGACCTCTGGTCGGGAGAGACGAGGGCCGCAATGCCATCGACCACCAGCACAAAGTATACCGTCTGGAAACGGTAGTAGATCGGGGCGTCGTTTTCGACGGCATCGGCAATCTCGCGAGGCCAGGTTGCCAGCAAGCCGTTGTAGTAGACCAAGGCCAGCTGTGGAAGGTGGCATCGGAGGCAGTTGTCAGCGGAAGCATCAGCAGGCAGTGTCGCCGCCACCGATAGAGGGGTGATGCAGCGGATGATGTGAACAATGCGAGTACAGCCAGGAAAGTGCGGGATGCAGGGATCAGTTTGGTGATAGTGCAGTCTCGGGGCAGCACAGCACAGCACCCCGGATGCGAACAGAGCGGCATCGCTGCTCTCTTGCGATCAGGACGAGCAGTGCGATGCTCTGACGATGGACAAAGCACGAGCCGTACCGAGACAATGACCCAGACGGCATCGGGCAGAAGCGAGAGATCGACGCGGCCGGACCTGAGCAAGTCCAGATACAGGCCGTGGACGGCAATGCCGCCGAAGAGCAGCGACAGAAGCACCAGGACGCCGTCGAGGATGCGCCAGCGCCTGGCACGCTCATAAAACTCGAGGTTGTACTGATCGAGCTCGGGGGAGCTGTCGTGGCTCCAGGGACTGTGCGGAGCATCGTCTTCGCTCTGGGAGACAGGAAAGTACCAGGACGACGAGGACGAGGGCCGGGCCGGGCTCAGGCGGAGGCTGGCCAGAGCCAGTGCAAGCAGACCAGCGCCGGCAATGGCGGTTTCAGTGCCGATGAACACGGACATGGGTTGGCTGGATCGACGGATGGATCGATAGAGGAATCGACAGACGGATCAAATAATGCGGCAGCAGCGGCTGTGACGATCTGCGAGTCGGCAGGTGTGAGTGCCAGCAGGTCAGATGCCGGCAAGTCTGCCCGCAGATCGGCATATCAAAGTGCTCAGCACTACGACCCCTGGCTCGCAGTCTCTCGGCCTGGGCAACCACACACCAGGCGGAACCTTGCCAGACAAGTCAAGCTGAGAGACCGAAGGCCCGTCGGATGGATCAAGTCGATCGATCGCTGAGCGAGCCGAGATCGAGATGATGCTGATATTCGACCCCTGCCGCAGCACAATGGCACCGCTGCGGCAGCCCGTGCCACATTCATCGCCACGTGCAACATGCCATTTTGGCTCTGCAACTTTGGAAGTCCAGATGATGATGGAGTATAATACGAGAGCTTAGCGAGCATTGAGCTTGGAGATACCGTCACCGCAGGAGCGATTGAAGACGAGCGTCTGTTGCAGAGCGAGCATCAAGCCTCAGCGATGAATGGTGTGCTGAATAGTCTGCAGACACTCATACACCGGAGCGCAGCAATGCCAGGGACAGCAATCGTGGACTGACCAAACAATGGGAATTTATAGAAAGGAACGACCAAACAAATTCAGCAGAGCGACAAGGAAAGGGTTGGGCTTGAGATACAATCAAGATACAATCAAGCCTCAATCAAGATACAATCAAGCCTCAATCAAGATACAATCAAGCCTTAATCAAACCTCAATCAAGATACAATCAAGATGCAATCAAGCCTCAATCAAGATACAATCAAGCTATGTTGTGCTTAGTTCGGCAGACTCAGCAGCCATTCAATCGCACAAGATATTGCTCTAGATGTGGGATGCCACAGGAAGTGTTGCAGTCGGATTTGTGTTGCCGAGACGGGTTCTCTGGAGCAACCGAAAGTCTCTATGTGGATCCAGGAGCAGAACTATCAGCGATAGCAACAACGTAGTACTTGGGAACCAAGCCAGAGCGTCCCGTGTTTTGGTTGTAGCCCTGGGAATTGCACATCGTTAAGTTGGGGCCGAGCAAGAGACAGAGAGTGAGATACAGGCGCTAGACATGGGTCGCTAGTCCCGAGTTGCTGGTCATTTCAAAACATGCCACGAACGACGGCCCCCAGTAATGACAAATTACAACCCAATCAACAATCGCACGACCAGTAGCTGCACCAGCGATGTCATTAAATGACAGGATCATGCGCACGAGCATGCTGGTCCGGGATCAGCTTACCTGAGCCACGCCATTGATGAACGGACCCTGAATCAAGATAATGTCGCCGAGGCGAAGATCGATGTGCTGTGAGTCCTTGGGACTGTATCCCGCAATGACAATATGCTTGGCTACGGCAGGGGGATTAGTTTGTGGCAGCCCTTGCGCTTCGGCTGTCGCAGCAGATTCGGAGTAGTTCGAGTTTCGGAAGCTTGGAGCCTGTGCGGCGTATCCCATGGATGGAGCAAGATAGCTTGCTTGCGGGCTGGTGGCCGCGCTGTGGTCGCTGGAAGCATAGGGAGGTGCAGCATATCCCTGAGTGGGGGAAGGTGCATAGCCAGAAACAAACGAGGCGCGATAATCCTGGGTGTAGGCATTCGGGTACTGGCCATAGCCGGCCCCTGGGTAAGCAGGTTGGCCATAGTTGGGCTGACCGGAGCCTTGGATAGGATAATGGGATGTAAAGTTGGCAGCAGGACTGGTCGCAGCTGCTGGAGGAAGAGCAGGGGCACTGGTGGCGACGGGCGCTGGGTTGTTGACTGGGACAACAAGAGCTGGGGGATTCTGGGGTTGGGGATTCTTGGAACGACGACTCCAAAGATATCCGGCAATGATACCGGCCACAACTGCAAGTGGCGACAAAGAGTTGTCAACGAATGATGAAGATGTTGAGCGACAATACCTAGGATCAACACTGCATGATACCTCACGCCACCCAAGCAATAGCATTTCCTGATCAAAGGCTCTCTTCCAGTGGCCGATTTCTCGCCGAGCAAGTGAGCAATGTCCGAGTTGCTGTCGAGACAAACATACCAACGACACCGGCAACAGCCCCGCCGATCAGGCCGATGTTGGAGTTGCTGGAGGCAGCCAAGGGGGTGGGTGACGGGCTCGGAGGAGTTGGAGTGGGAGTGGGCTTTGTCTGGTTCGGGAACGTGGACGGCAGCACGACATTGGGATCGTTCAAAATAGAACCAGAATAATACGTCGTGAAGAACGATTCAGAGTCTCCGCTATCGATGCCGCACGCTGTACTGAGCGAATCGCTGGATACCAATTGGCAAGTGTTGCATCCAGCATCGCCACAGGCGTAATATTCAATGTTCCTCGAGTTTGGATTGAAAATGGTATAGCCATAGATGCCAGTGATGATCATGGTACATGTCGGATATACGGGTGTTCGGTTCGCTGCGTAGACTTTCGAGCAAGTATTGTCGTTGGTCGAAAATGTATAGTATGAAAAGTAGTTGGTCTTGAAACCTGGATTCCAGTTGCTGTGCAGCGAGCGGATGATCGAATCCCATCAGCATTCAGAAAACAGGATAGTAGCTAACGTGACTGCTGAAATGTCCTAATCGAAAAGATTGGAGAGTGGAAGGCAGACGATATGAAGATACGAACCTTGTACTGGTGTAGTCGGCGGTGCCGTAGAGTCCTGTTGCATCGCCGTTTGGACATGGATTGATGGAAGTGGTTGTGACAGAGGAAGTGTAAACACAGTTTTTGGTACAGGTTGTGTCTTGGCCGCAGCGATAGGTGATGATGGAGTTGTTGGACTGGAGGATGGTGGAGTATTGACAATAACCTCCGCTCGAAGAGGTAAAACAAGCACATCGATTCAAACCAAAGACAATATCACCGAATGTAGTTTCGGTGGAAACGGGAGATGTGGAAGTGGTTGCGCATTGGGGGGCCATTCGGTTTGTTCCTTGGTCAACAATCCAAAGGAGATTGGACGGGTTGATGGGGACGGGGCTGGACATGTCTGCGTCAAAGTCTGTGGCAGGAAGCCCACGGCCGAGATTGCTTTCGAGGGGAGATGAGGGAAGCAGCCGCGAAGCCGCCGGGTTCGACAGAAAGCGGAGGCGAAGGCACCCGCGGGGAAGCAGGGGCGATGGGGGGAAATGGCCGGATGGAAGAGCAAGATTTGGCGAGATGGCTTTGGATCAGTGCTGAAATGCAAACGGAAGCATCTTCGCAACCGACGGCAGCGCAGCCACTGCTCATGTGACCAAACGGTATCTCCACAATCTTGAGCCCGTGTTCTCGCTGGGTGGCACCCCTTGAGGTTTCATGTTGGTGCGACGCCGAGCATAACACGCCGCACCCGCTTTACCGATTTTGCGAGAGCCTGAAAACTTTGCAAAGAGAAAGGGCCAACCACGATTCCCATTTCGAGCGAATGGCGATGAGTCGTTCGCGCTTGTGCTCGCGTCCCTCATCGAGGCCGCTGGGTTCCTTCACCGGACACAAATGCCGCATCCGTCTGAAACGTGCGGGCACACATAGCACACGGTGACACACACGTCCATATATGTTTTGCTTGCGCGTCCCTGCAAGGGCGGCCTGTTCCTTTCCCGCGTCAACGAATCAATCAGCTGTCGATGTCCGTTGCAACAAGGCGAGCACCAATGCAACATGGCAATCGATAACGCACCATTGACGCGTAAGTGACGGCTTTGTGCGCACATGTGGCCATGTGATCCGGGAACAACCCGGGCTAAGCCACACCTCTCGGCCTGAAAACGAAGCGTTCGGCCGACATTTACTCGCTTCGTCCCTCCCATCGCCTGCCGTTGCTTCGACCTCTCGAGCTGCACCGGCCCTCACATATTCTCCATCACAATCCCAGTCGCTGACCTTTGTGCGGCTGCATTCCTGATCATCTTTGCTGCAAGCATGTCCTCAGCCCCGATTCCCATTGATCCAACAAGTGTGCAATGGATGATCTTTCAGGGATCCAACGATGAGCTGCCAAAGTGTCTCACCAGCTGGTCGAGCCCTGCGAGTGCCGTAAATGTTTTCTACGATGCCATCATCGCAACCAATCGATGCGATTGCTTTGTAGCAACTTCAACCGCACCTAGTGTCTGCGAATACAGAACCATCCTCCAATCCAACAACTCTATCATCACCTACACTTGCGGCCAAGACACAACCTGTACCAAAAACTGTGTTTACGCTTCCTCTGTATCGACCACTTCCATCAATCCATGCGCAAATGGATTTACTGGCCAATACAGCACCGCCGACTACACCAGCACCAGGTAGGGGATGACACGCATTATCTGACCCATCCCTTCGCATGAATACTCTCTGGATATGATTGCTGCGCATCTTTGGAGTGCTACAACTTGCGTGACTCAGGCTTTGCCCTCTATAGCAATTGGGACTCAAGTTTCAAGACCAACTACTTCGGGTATTACATTTTTTCAGTCAATGACAATACCTGCTCGAAAGTGGTTTCCGCCAACCGTGTGCCTGTGTATCCGACATGCACCCTGATTGTCACCGGTGTCTATGGCTATACCATTTTCAATCCAAACTCGGGCAACATTGAAGGTTATGGCTGTGGTGATGCTGGATGCAACACCTGTAATATTGCATATGCCAACCCACGCAGTTCAACGTGTACCATCGACAGTGGCGACTCGAGTACAGGATTTACGATATATCGCAACGGTTTTATTTTGAACGATCCCAATGTCGTGCTGCCGTCCACGTTCCCGAACCAGACAAAGCCCACTCCCACTCCAACTCCTCCGAGCCCGTCACCCACCCCCTTGGCTGCCTCCAGCAACTCCAACATCGGCCTGATCGGCGGGGCTGTTGCCGGTGTCGTTGGTATGTTTGTCTCGACAGCAACTCGGACATTGCTCACTTGCTCGGCGAGAAATCGGCCACTGGAAGAGAGCCTTTGATCAGGAAATGCTATTGCTTGGGTGGCGTGAGGTATCATGCAGTGTTGATCCTAGGTATTGTCGCTCAACATCTTCATCATTCGTTGACAACTCTTTGTCGCCACTTGCAGTTGTGGCCGGTATCATTGCCGGATATCTTTGGAGTCGTCGTTCCAAGAATCCCCAACCCCAGAATCCCCCAGCTCTTGTTGTCCCAGTCAACAACCCAGCGCCCGTCGCCACCAGTGCCCCTGCTCTTCCTCCAGCAGCTGCGACCAGTCCTGCTGCCAACTTTACATCCCATTATCCTATCCAAGGCTCCGGTCAGCCCAACTATGGCCAACCTGCTTACCCAGGGGCCGGCTATGGCCAGTACCCGAATGCCTACACCCAGGATTATCGCGCCTCGTTTGTTTCTGGCTATGCACCTTCCCCCACTCAGGGATATGCTGCACCTCCCTATGCTTCCAGCGACCACAGCGCGGCCACCAGCCCGCAAGCAAGCTATCTTGCTCCATCCATGGGATACGCCGCACAGGCTCCAAGCTTCCGAAACTCGAACTACTCCGAATCTGCTGCGACAGCCGAAGCGCAAGGGCTGCCACAAACTAATCCCCCTGCCGTAGCCAAGCATATTGTCATTGCGGGATACAGTCCCAAGGACTCACAGCACATCGATCTTCGCCTCGGCGACATTATCTTGATTCAGGGTCCGTTCATCAATGGCGTGGCTCAGGTAAGCTGATCCCGGACCAGCATGCTCGTGCGCATGATCCTGTCATTTAATGACATCGCTGGTGCAGCTACTGGTCGTGCGATTGTTGATTGGGTTGTAATTTGTCATTACTGGGGGCCGTCGTTCGTGGCATGTTTTGAAATGACCAGCAACTCGGGACTAGCGACCCATGTCTAGCGCCTGTATCTCACTCTCTGTCTCTTGCTCGGCCCCAACTTAACGATGTGCAATTCCCAGGGCTACAACCAAAACACGGGACGCTCTGGCTTGGTTCCCAAGTACTACGTTGTTGCTATCGCTGATAGTTCTGCTCCTGGATCCACATAGAGACTTTCGGTTGCTCCAGAGAACCCGTCTCGGCAACACAAATCCGACTGCAACACTTCCTGTGGCATCCCACATCTAGAGCAATATCTTGTGCGATTGAATGGCTGCTGAGTCTGCCGAACTAAGCACAACATAGCTTGATTGTATCTTGATTGAGGCTTGATTGCATCTTGATTGTATCTTGATTGAGGTTTGATTAAGGCTTGATTGTATCTTGATTGAGGCTTGATTGTATCTTGATTGAGGCTTGATTGTATCTTGATTGAGGCTTGATTGTATCTTGATTGAGGCTTGATTGTATCTTGATTGTATCTCAAGCCCAACCCTTTCCTTGTCGCTCTGCTGAATTTGTTTGGTCGTTCCTTTCTATAAATTCCCATTGTTTGGTCAGTCCACGATTGCTGTCCCTGGCATTGCTGCGCTCCGGTGTATCGGGAACGAGGCGTACCAGCTTAGTGGCCACAAACGTGTTATGTAGAATCAACATTTGCGCATCGTGCACGGACGGGTGCGGGCAAGAATAGGGAGCAGGAAAGCGAAGGCGAGCGGTGGGAGGGGTGACTTTGAAGGGTGACTCCAAGGGGCAAATGTGCCGATATCGGTGGCTCCTTGGCTGGCGCCTGCTCATATGTATCCTCTGGCATTGTGTCGATCGCACCACTGCGCAATCAGTGTTCATCCCAACATGATCAGAACGAGTGGATGGCGCTCCAGGGCCAAGAGTGCTGCTGTCCTTTGTTATCGTCGCGCATCATGTGCCGTCTGGCATCGCACAGTCCGAGCCTGTGGTTGCGTCTGATCGATTCGGTGGCGGATCAAATGCCCGCCTGGGCGAGCTCTCCGCATTCCTAGTGCCAGAGGTGTCCATCGGCCACAGTAGCAGGTTATTTCTGCTTTGGTTCGTGAAGATTGTAGCATGACTGTATTGCCAGAGTGCCAGCAATGGCCAGATCCACCGATGGGCTTCATCTCAACTCGTCACCTCAGATCCAGCAGCGACTCACATTTTCTTTGCAGCAGACCGCCTCGCCCCTCCCGCAAGCGCACCACCGCCTTCGTTCGCAGGCTTTCCGGTTGTCCCCTTCATGCCAGATCCCACCTTTCCTTTTGCCGGCGCTCGCGACACCGCCACAGCAGGAGGCCTGGACTTTTTGCTTGATCGGCCCGCCGCGGGATTTGATGCGGTTGTGGGTGCAACGTAGACATATCGCGAGTACTCGACCACAGTCTCAGCAAAAGCCTCTGATGTCCAGGGTGACTTGAGGTCGTGTTCTGCAAGCCTTAAAGCTGACTTGCGTCTGTGGCTGGTGGCTGTGCCTCGCGACGGCGGAACACCCCCAATCAGCGATTTTGAATCGGCGCTGACGTGGGTGTGTGAAGAATCGCCGTCGAGCATATCCAGAGTAACGCTTTGGGTTGCTTCTTTCTCGTTGAAATAGCATATCGAAAAGTCTGGGTTCCACCGGATACGCTTTGTCTTTCGAGCTCCATGATCCAACCCCGCCGTTTCTGCTTCAGGATCACCGGCCATGGCAGTTTCCACGAACGCTCGCTTCAGCGACTCCGGCTTGGCCGGAGATTCGGTTGCGGCTAGTTGACTGCCTTCGCTATCGCTGAGATCATCCTTAATCGGTTTCGGGGTCCATGGCGTACCGTGCCGCCTTCGCTCCTGTATTCGCTCGATCATGGTGGATGTCGGACTTGGCGGCGGCGCCCCGACCATCGGAGTGATAACGAGCACATGCTCGCACATTCGCCGCCCGTTGATTTCAGTGTTCATCGTTGTCAGCATCTGCAGTGCCTTTGGAGGCAGCGACAGGATATCATCCGGATCTGGCATCGGTGGATACTGATTCGGCAGGAGCCGGCTTTGATTCGGAGTCGCCATCGTCGAGACTGGCATGGATGATAGAGGCGCTGGGATCATCGTCGCTGGTTCGCTTGCGATTGTTTCGGGGTGGCCAGCAGTCGCAGGTCGGCTTGCTTCACTGAATGACAACATAGGCGGGCTCAAACAGTCGTCACTGGCCAGAAGCGGCGCCTTGGGGATGGCGGCTGAGGTGTCGGTAGCACTCTCGGCGGATACAGCGGAGATGCCATCGTCAAGGCTTGGTGTAGCTTGGGTGTGCTTCATGCTGAGAAGCATCCGCCGCTTCTCTCTCAGGGCCTCCAGCTCGGCCAGGAGTTTTGCCTTCTCGTCAACGGAGGCTTCGCTGTCAGCTGGCTGCAAGCAAAGGGAGATCCGGGTAAGTTCAGCAGAGCATAATACTGCATTCACCGAGTCTATGAGTTAGGCACTACCGCCACACAGCCCCTGCACCGGTTCGTACCAGCTGTTCTTCAGTGAGATCGACGACTGCCTCGGACGGGTCGGATTGCGCCCTCTTCAGAAACAAATCAGGGCATGGCGGCAACGGAGCCTCAGGGCCCGAGCCGGGCTCGCTATCGTTCCCATCAGCATCGAATATGCTGACGGCAGCCATGTCGGGTTGCATCGCCTGTGCGTTGTGGGTATGCGCTTTGTTGGGTTCGTGATGATCGTTTGGTGGTGATATTGTCGGATCAACAGTAGCATCGAATGGATGATCGGGTGCCACGGACGATCGATGAGAATGCATGCGTTTCCTCCAGGCAGCTTGTATTACGGCCGCAGCTCTTCGCTTCGCCAAGAAATCAGCCCTGGGTCTGCTGGTCCGTATCATGGACTGGAGGCGAGTGATGGTCTCAAGAGCCGGCTGCTCGCTGGGGCTGTCTGCTGCTCTCGTTTCGCAGCGCCGGTGCGGCGTATGGGCAGGACTTGGGTTGGCCAGATCTCGCGGCTCAGGAGATCGGCGTGGCTCAAAACCGATCTTGTTCATCACAGACCGTTGGGGCGAGGGTGCGATTCGAGGGCCGTCTGCATGAGCGGCAAGCGACGGGTTGTAGTCCAGACATTGGTCGTCGTCGGTTTGGTTAATGCACGCCGACCAGATCTCGGCTTCGCTCAGCTGGATATGAAACACCTCTCGGTCAAACGACAGCCTGAAACGATCCGGAGCCGGGCGATCGGCTATCATGTCGGCGGTGTCGGCTGCAGCAAGCAGACCGTCTCGGTTTGCGGCCAAGGCACAAGCGGTGCGAGTCGGGACGGCCGGCGAATGCCGTGAAGCGTGTGGCCAATAGCGGGACGGGGCAATTGCTGGCCTATGCCCACTGTGTGCTAATGACGGATGTGATGGTAGTCGAGCGACTCTCGATGGGGCTCACGTCGTTGAGTCGCCGTCGATGCAAAGCCTGGGCTTGTCCTGAAGGTTCAGCGCCAAGATGGAGGAAGAGAGCGGGCAACGCAGCCGAGATGGTTTGTCCAAAAATGGACAAACAGCTTCTGCGCTCTCGTCGTCCTCGTTGGCCGGGCGAGGGCGGCGGTTCGGTTCCTCTTGGGTCGACTGCTTGCTCTGCATCCATGTCTCATCGAGACCATCGCTCCGAGTGAGTTTTAGGGAGTTGAGATACGCTCCTTTCACTTCACCCATGTACAAATGGGACACTGCCCAATTTTGGATGAACATGGCGTATGAGATGGCCTGCGTCGAGCAAAGCCATATACAACCAAGTTGATCGCCTCGGCGGCTGGGACTGCAGCATCTCGACGCAGCAATGGGTGGATGTATTCAGGACCCAGAAACAAGCGACAGCCCTGGCTCAAAACAGGGTGGCCCGTTTCGTTTTGGGTACGCTGCTGACTGCACAGGCCGGCTTCGACCGACTCAGGCAAAATGGCCGGTACCCATACCCGCTGATCCTCGACGGCCCTTGACGCTCCGGCGATTGCCGTTGAATCCGGCAAAGTTAAAAGCATCGATTGTCTGGACAGACGACCTGGGTGAGCAGCCTGTGGGATGGTGGACTCGCCGACAGAATCGCACTAGTGCCGTCACATGCATGGGATTTGCGCTGCGCTCCATCTCCGGGACAGCAGCCGGCTCAGAACGGGTAACTCACATCATTCAGGATATTGGCTCCCTTTGTCAGAGTTGCGATGTACGAGATGAGAAGGGAGTCGCTGTACTCGATCATGAGCTCCTCTTGGAACTCTGGTGTTTCGATCACAGGCAAGCGCCTAACCAAACTCGAGATCTGTCGAAGAACTACATGGTCCACAGGAATGACACCTAACAGCCCCGCCACAGATCAGGACACGAATGTGAGGACATAAGCGATACGGAGCGGGACTCAAGTTGTCAGCATGCTTGGCACAAGTTCGAGCAGCAGTTCACAGAAACATACCACTCTTGACATCCGTGACATACTGCTTCAGCAACTTGATGCGTGTGTGCAACATTTGCACGGCGTTTCTTTGCGAGGTGAGTTGATTGATGGCTGTTGGAAGCGCACAATATCCAGGGCGGTTAGTGATCCCTGGTTTTCAATACTCGCATGCAGCGTGCCATTGCGATATCTTTTGCTCGCTCGCGACACTTACTTGTGCTGCCCTGACCACTGTTCGAAGCATGGGCAACGTGATCGACAGCAATGCGCTCGGCATCGGCAGTCTCGACCTTGTAGTCGGATTTAGTGAAAAACGTTTGAGCCTGTCCATTAACAAGGTCAATGACTGACTCGTACACATTGATCGGCAGCTCTTTGGAGGTCACGATGGCGGTTGGGTTCAGCTGCAAGTAAAGCAGCCCTTCGTTCAATTCGGACATCTACAGCGTTGGATGGGTATGTGCGTCAGTAGCAGCCTCTCCTCCGGCACAGCTCTGCACTTGTGAGCACTGAGAGGTGGGCGAGTAGCTCATGAATAATGTCCTCCAGCTATTGGCGCTGAGCATTCGGATCATATGGGACCATACTTGCTGGTGCAGGTTCAATTCGGTGGATGTTGGAGCCAGTCCCGTGGAGTACCATCCAAGGACATCATAGGTTGGAAACACCTGGTTGACTGGGGAGTTGATGAGACCAAGCATCAGTTGCTGATTCTCATCCAATCCAGTCCCATGCGGAGCACTACTGAGCTG